GGGGGGGGAAAGAAGGGGGGTGGATTCGAACACGGGGCGCGTCGGCGCTAACGACGGTCGGTTCGTGAGAATGCGACGGCGGGTGGCGGCGGGAGTCGCGTGAAGCGTCGGTCGTGAAGCGTCCGCGAAGCGTGTAGCGCACATTATTGTATTACTAACGGGACACATCATTACCGATACCGATTTGGAGGCCGCCTGCGCGCCGCCCGCGCGGGGCCCCCGGGCCGGCCAGGGCCCCTCGGGGGGTATCACAGGAGCGCGCCGCGACCACCGCTCTGGCGGGGCCGGCCAGGGCCCCCCGGGGGGTCATGCTGCGCGCCGGCCGGTCCCCGGGAGAAACTTATTGAGAGAAATGATTTTTATCGCTTTTTCAAAAGCTACCGCCGCCGCCCCGTGCGTACACGTGTATGTGTGTGTGGGGGGGGGGGGGGATTTATCTTTGTCTTTGTTCCCCTTGCGCGCCGGAGTTATTCGTAACATAACGTGGTCAGAGGTGGCGGGCCGTCGTGGCTATTTCACGCACCGGTTTGTTATTGCGCCTCTCCCTCTCCCTCTCCCTCCTGTAATTGAACTGAAAGTCGTCGGCTAGTCGCACGTCAGATAGAGCCAGGTAGAGCGCTGTATTGACAGTGCGCCTATGGCGGCGCGGGGCCTTGCTTGACGACGCTTTAATCTGTACGCGATTAAAAAGTGATGTAGCGCGACGTAATTGGTACAGAGTCACTGGCTCACTGAGTGCGCCTAGCCGCGGCCCCCCAGCCGTCTTCCCCCTTGGCCAAGTTCACAGCCCGTGTCTTAATCGCTAAATGAATTGTAAAGCACGTCGGTGCTATGGACGCTGCCGCCGCCTGGTCGCTCGCTCACCTGGTGTCGCCGACCCATAAACGCAACCCCCTCTTTACTGGCAACGTCAACACACATTTTTATTCGTGTATCTTATGGTTCTCTCTTTTCCTCTACTGCATGATATTTTTTAGTACGCAACACACTAACTGGATTTGTATCTTTTGTTTGTACGAATTCAAGCAATATTTTCTTTCAGACATTTATGCTATACTATCAATTTTGTGCCTTTATTTAGGAAATCATACTTTGCGCACAACATTTCACAAAACTATACAAATACATTTTAGCGTGCAGTCCGTGGAGAAATTTGGTCAGGCTGGCGTTTTAAAGGTTGTTGGTGCATGCTCAGAAAAATACAAAACTTTGAATTTAAAGAAACATAAGGTTTTAGTGTGCAGGGACAGTAATTCAATTGCTCTTGCCAACAAAACGACTTAAACAGTATTTTCGTCGTTACTTTACTTTAAAATTTTTGCTAACAGATTAACAAATGAAAAACAGAGGACTGATAATTTCTGTTAAGTACCATAACTAAAATTATAAAATTTCTCGTCTCCAAAAGAAACGTAAAAGTCGCATATAGGATTGTAAAATTAAGAGTCTCACAAATCGACATGAATTTTTCTGCCTCGCGTATATAAGCGGATGCCTCTGCACTTTATTCCTTCCGTTTCGTTCCCAGGGAGCGCTTGCGAAGCTCGCAGAGACCCGCGAACTTTAGTTAATTGTCTGGCTGACTGTTGCTGGTAATCACTCTCATCATTACCGTTCCGCTTATTTTTCCAGTCGTTTGGAGAATTTTTGCGCTCTGAGATAGTGCGAGTGCTCAGCAGGCACGCACGCCGCACAAGGTTGTCGTCTAATTATAACCTAACCACAATCTTTTATTTCGTGAAAAGTAGAAGATTAGCTCGCATGTATGTGTGTGTGGCCTATTGCCACAGGAGGACTGAGTAGAAATTAAGTGATGGTTAATAAAAGGGAAAGACGCGACCCTATTATCGACAGATAACCATATTTCTGCGTACAACTATCTGCATATCACACACACACACACACACAGACTACTATTAACATTATTTGTACCCGGTAATTATTGTTCTCCACGAAAGGAGGATAATCATGTAAAATTAATCTCGATTAATTTCTATAATCATCGGCGGAAGAGGAAAACGGGTGAGCCTCTTGCTTCAGCTAGTGCGTGTGTCCGCGTGTCCATGTGCGGTGCGCGCCCGCAAAGGGTTGGAGCTATCGCATCGCAAAAGAAACAACAACAACAAGTAAACTTGATGACGCGTCACCCACTACCACCACTACTTCTGCTACTTGTGCTTGCCATGTGTGGTTGTCTCGCAAGGAGCGCGCGTTAACAATTGAGAGAGCAGCGGGCGCAGGCCGGTGCAGGCCGTGCAGGCCGGCCGGGGGCCCCGCGTTGCGTGCGGCACGCCACGCCACGCCGCGCCACGCCTAATCCCTGTAACTCACTGTGTTGTTCGCGTGCAGGTAACGTGTCCGCAGGACGGGCCGGCCTGCAGGCGGCGGCGCGGCTTGCAGGAGCAGGAGGTGGGAGGGGCAGGCTGGCTGCATGGCGCTGCCGCCACCGCTGCTGCTACAAATTTGCATCGTTTCGATAATATTTTTTTTCCTGCATTGCTCAAAATGTTGTTGCACTCCGTGACTGGCGGGCCGCGTCCCGCGCACCGGGGCCCTTTGCATGTAATTACAAAAGGAAATTGTTTGTGCAAGCAAAGAAGTGCAGTTTACCATGGGGGCGTTTTCGTGGACCCGATCTGAGGATTTGTCTTGTTGCGCCTTTGTTCTGATTAGGCGTCTGATAAACATAAGCCAGAATCTGACGTAAATCAGGTGCTGCAGCACGCAAATAAAAAAACCATGAGGATGCGAAAACGTCCCTAATTGCCCCTTTTAAACGTGATTCGTCAGATGAGTCGTTCCAAGAATTAAATGCAATCTTATTCTAGACCATTTCTTTTATTTTCGGCTATTATTAGAGCATATAAGAACCACTTAACTTGATATAATCGTTATTACTATCCAGGACAGCGTTAGGTACATTCAATATTACTGATAGATTCCTATCTGTCGTCTACTGTCATTGTCTCAGTCATTTGGAATAGCATGGTTCTAAGAAAAGACCGAATTTCTTTCACATGTTACTTCAATAGTCAGAAAAAGCAACAAAAATAAAAATAATTTTGAAAAAAAGAATAAAGTCCTCTGGGTGAAAATTGGAACGTGCTAAGAAACAAGTAATTTACAGAGATTCAGGCAGAAATACCTATATATATCGAGTAAATTTGTGTGTCCTTATTTAATGTTCTTGCATACACCAGGCTCATGTGTATTAGAACAAGTACCAGCATTTGCCGTGCGTTTATTATTTAAAAGATATATTATGCAGCCTTTCTGTTCTGTTAATATTTTGTTTATTTTTTCTAGCTTGAAGCCGTGGGGTGCGGGGGCGCCGTGTGTCGGCGTGGCTCAAGGGGGAAGGTGGAAGGGGGGGGGGAGCATACGGCTGATGCTTATCGTTATCAGCGGCGGAGCGGCAGAAAGTCGCGGCGCGCGGCAAATTAAAAAGCGCGCCCTTTTGGCGATGCCGGGCAGAGATTGCGGCACATGGGTGTGATTAATTGTCGTTACTATTTGTAAAGCGCGAGAGGCGTCGTTTGTCCCGCGGTTATCAGCGGCGGGGGGCGCGGCGGCGGGGAGCGGAGCAGAGCACGCGCGCGCCGGCACGGGGAGGAGCATTATCATGTCATTGAGGGAAACATTTACGGCCGAGCGGCCGGCCAGCCGGGGTGTTAAAAAACGGGCGCGCAGCGGGAAAAGAAAAAGGTAAAATAAAAGGAGGCGCGACACAAGCGGTCGTCAAATGAGAGGAGGAGAGACACTCGCGCGCGCGCGCGTTAAAGGTCTCGGGCTTATTGGCAAGGCGCCCGGCCGCGGCGGAGATGACCGCGCCCAAACTACCGGGCGCGCTGTAAAGAAAGCGGTTTTATTGAAATGTTTGGCGCGATTCGGAGCAATTGGCGACGACGACTGCTCGCCTTTTGTATGAGAGAGACGAGAGAGAGAGAGACAGAAAGAGAACACGGCGCGCTCTGGACAAGCCGGTCAGGTCCGGTCGTTTTGATAAAAAGTGTCCCGTGTCGGTCGTCTCCGCGCGCCCAGGGGCCCGGTCCGTCCTGGCCCGCGCGCGGGGACACGGCGCGACACGTGGCGAAACGCGAGCGACCCATTCCAGTCCGCCTCCATGATATGGTCAGGGCCGGCGCAGTTAAAGTCGACGATATGGACTGCGGAGAGGTCCTTAACCGGCGTTTTAACGCCCGCCTAAACGCCCCTTCGGATATAATGCGGGAGGGACGAATGAATGGTCTGCGGCGGATAAAGAGAGGTTGGTGCAGAATGAGTGATTAGAGGGGGGAGGTAGGCGTGATGCGCACGCAGGGCGGCTACCGGAAGCGGGAAGCACAGTAGCGGCCGCACGGAGGGGGCAAGTGAATGCATTCAGAATCAAGTGGATGCGCGGGAGCCGATCTGGCGGGCAAATTATGACACGCTGCGGATTTCCGGTCGACAGTGTTTAGCCGCGGCAGCTTGTACGCAACCCGTGAAGGGTACTGAACGCCCCTCGCTCCTGGCGGGCTGTGATTCGCTCGTGCCGACCCGCCTCGCTCAGCGTGCGCTCCTACCTGGTGCCTGGTGAGCCGGCGGCGACGATCCGGGGAGAATGCTGGGCGATGACGACGGCAGTTCCATTGCGCTTTTGCTCAGCGGGTTGTTATTGTTATTGTTGATGTTATTGTTGTTATTGTTGTTGTTGCTGCTGCTGGTGACGGCGGCCACCCCGGTGTGGGGCCTCGGGGTCCCCGCGGGGCCGTCGTCGTCCGCGCAGCGGGGCGCCTTGGCCAGGCCGCAGCAGATGCTGGTGACGGAGAAGTCCGTGACGCACTTCCCGGTGACTGAGTTGGTGGTGGCCGACGGGCTGGTCACCAACATGGTGCGCTGCAGGGGGGTGCGGAGCACAGCGGGGCGGTCATACGAGCATCCCCGAGCACGGGGGGGTGGGGGTTAGGGGAGCACTGGCACTGGCACTGTCACCGCCGCGGTCACCACGACGACGCACTGCTTCACTGGAGAACACGCGCACTCGCGGCGGGGCGGCGCCTCGGGGGCCACGCGGGTGCCGGTGTCTGGGGCGGCGGAGCGGCGGCGTCGAGCCTGCGGCCTGGGTGCCTTCCTGGGAGCTACTGAGGGGCTCCCGGCGCGCGCGCCCGGTGGGGCGGGGCCGGCGGGGCGGCGAGGGGGCGGGGCCTGGGGCAGCCTGAGCTGAGCGCGCCGGGCGCACCAGCCGGGTTGGGTGGCGATGGCCGCTGCGCTGCGCTGGCGCCGCGGGTGCGACGGTGAGGGAAGCCCCGCGGGAGTGGGGGGTGCCACACCGTGCGGCGGGTGCGGGCGCCGCGACGGTGCTGCCGCCGCGGCGTGCCCGCGCACTGCGGGCGGCGCGGTCAGGGCGCTCGCGGGGTGCGCCGGGGTGCGCCTGGAGCGCCACGGCAATACCCCACCCGCCTGGCTATCCCGTGTTATAAATGCAGCCGTCGATTAAACAGAATTTTACGCAAATAGTTATATTCGGGTGGTTCACCGAAAGACCATAGACCCCCTTAATTTACATATTTTGTACCGCATGCAGGCGTGCGGACGGTTTGTATACTCGCACGGGGTCATAGGGTGGTGCCATGGTATGGTAGGCATACCTGTTCGGACGCCCACCTGCGGCAAGCAAAATAAAGCGGTCTGTGAACTACCTGGTGCTTGCGCTACACACTCGAATAATGTGTGACTGGGGTTGCTTTTTTTTTTTGGCTGGTTTTGGTTTATTGCACTTTAGGGCACTGAACGAGCATGATGCCCTGTCTTAGATCTGTTTCCTCTGTGCGTTTCGATACACACCAATAAAATAATTTTTGGTGACGTTATGGGTCTATTCTCTGCATCAGGTGGCTGGGTGTACCGAGATGTACTACTGTAACACATGCACGCGTGTTTAGATGGGGTCTCTGCACGTGCTAACATTTAGGCGCTGTGATCAGAGAGGATAGGCAAAATTAAGCCGCCTGTCCAGAGTAACACCCTCACGATCATCCAGAGTATTCATGTTGTTGTTTCGTCGTAGTGACGTGTTGTTTCCAGTAAATATTTGGCTAATGCGCGATGAACTGTTAACATTGACTAAATGCAGACACACATCTTAGTAGTCATACCTTTTATAATCACATAGCATTTATATATTAACAAAATATTATTTTCAAGTTTGTGTCTTGTTTATGGAAAAATCCTATAACAAAATAACATGGAAAAGATTCCAACTGAGTTTTTTAAAAATGAACTTGGAAGATTGCGTTAGGCTTTGGCTTATTTTAATTTTCTCACATGTAAAACATAGATCCTTTTCTCTATCGTGCTTAACGCCTCTGTTAACACGATTCTCGCGATTGATATTTGGTACCTATGATTTATTTTGGGGGTGTGAGTGTGACCACAGAGTGGTACCACCGCACGCACGAGAGTTGCTGTCGCTGTGCAGACTTTGCCTGGTATGCGGTAAGCGCAGGCAACTGCCAGATTGCGCAGGGAGCACTAGGAAGAACAACTGAGCGGTCCTTTCTACCCCATCTCCTCCAGGTATTTGTCCCTGCTGCTAACACATGGGCCTGCCTGCGCCCTGTCGCACGGTTTGGGCGCGAGCGCGCCCGACTGACGAACGGAGCGCCCCGCACCTGCTGGAGGCGGAGGTGGTGGTGGCGCCCGTGGTGGGGGCAGCCCTGGGTGCCCTCGCCCCGCCCCACCCCGCCCCGCCCGCAGTGCTGCCCCCACCCGGGCGCGCCGGTGGGCGGGGCCTCGGCGGGCCAGTGAGCAAAGGGCGTGGGCCTGGGCAGCGGGCGCAGCGGGCCACGCACACCAATGGGCTTGCAAGCGCGGACGTTAAAATGGTAATGCGGCGGCGCGGTCACCCGCGGCGCACGCGCGCGCCCGCCCGCTGCACAACCATAGCACAACCATTGCGCGCGCGCGCCCACCCGCTGCACAACCAGCACATTAAGTTTGACCGAGAGCGATAAGTGTGACATAAAAAACGAATCGGAAGTAATCGGGTGCGCCATATCAAAGAAACTCTAATCGCGATTCGCGCATTTCCAGGGATGGGCTCTGCTGGGGTGTATCGCGATCTCCGGG